GTGCCTGGCCACTCAACCAACCATCCTGAAGGCATCTTCGTCCTGCTCCCTCGGAGGCCCTCCGGGAGGCTTAGAGGGGACTGTCGCCAGGATTGGGACCCAGGCCCACCTGCTTCCCAGTCTGCAGGTCTTGCCCTGGTGGAGCGGCTGGTGGTTTCAAACCACTGACTTAGCAGTGCTTAGCCACCTCTCCACCAGGCCGCCTCTCCCCGAAGCCTCTGCCGTGCACTGTCACATCCTAAGGTGCCCCCCCACTCCAAGGAAAACAGACTTCCTTAAGAAGTCAGGTGTCACAGCAATTGTGAACTAAAACGTGACAGGCCCTTCCTTCAGGGTCACCTTTGGGTGTGTTGCATTTCTCAAATGGGTGTGTTTCTACAGCCACTCAGGTAACCCACCTCGTAGTCACACCTCTGCACTGGAGGATTCTGGGTGATCCTGGGAGCCAGCCCTGGACTCCAGCTGCCTGGGTGGGAAGCCGGGTCCTCAAGCTGCGTGAACCTTTGATGACGTCTTCCTGGGCCTCAGTCTCCCCATCTGTACTACGGGGATAACACTAGAATTTAACCTCAGGAGGGTTCGGGAAGGCCCATGAACACCCGAAACACAGCCTGGAAGGGAGTAATGGCAAAAGAAGGGCCACAGAAGCGTGAGATGTTAGGAATCCCTCACCCCCGACTCCCACCACCCAAAACAACCCTGCTGGAGCCACGCCCACCACCTGTCTGTGCCCAGATTTTGGGGTGTGGAGGTGCTCTGCAGGTCAGGGTCAGGTCAGGTGGGGGCTTTCTGGGGGCCCAAGACCGAAAAGGGGCTGTCGGGCACCTGCGTCCCTTCTCCCCACTTGTAGGGTGCCCTTACTGCTCTCTAAACCCAGCGCTGTGTCAGTAAGCTAATGCTCAATCCGAAAGACAATGATTCTCCCACAGCGGAGGCTGGAGGTCCCAGCCCAGGCACCGGGCTGCCCCCAGGTGGCCTTGCATTGTTCTTAGTCCACCCCTGCCCTCTCGTGGATTTAGCACCTGCTCTCCACAAGTAAGGAGCCCCTGCTGGCTTCATGGTTTTGAGTTGGGTTACTAACCACCAGGCCAGCGGTTTGAAACCATCGGCCACACCTTGTGAGAACGATGAGGCTTTCTACTCCCGTAAAGAGTTATGGCCTTGAGATTCAGTCAGGCGGAGCCTTGATGGAGTGTCAGTTTCTGTTGTCACCCCTCTTTTCTCATCGCTACATGTGCCGAGTAAAATTTTGATTTCTCCTCAACATGAAAGCGTTAGAGCCTCAGGAACCCACAGGGGCAGTTTACTCTGTCCTCCAGGGACTCGGTGGCAGACAGCTTGGTTTGGGCTTTCCCTGTGAACAAAGGAGCCCTGCTAGCTGTGGGTTAGGTGTTAGCCTACTAACTGCAAGACGGCAAGTTCAAAACCACCAGCCACTTTGAAGGAGATGGATGAGGCTGTCTGCTCCCGTAAAGTCGTACAAAGCCTCAGAAACCCCGTCTGGGGTCCCTGTGAGCCAGAATCACTCCATGGGTGTGTTTTGGGCTTTAGCCCTATGAATGAACATTGCCTTATTAACGTGACTGGGAACCGAAGCACAGGTCCCACACGCCTCTCAGACTGTGGGGCAGAGCCCAGTGGACCCACGGGGTTTCCGAGAACGTCCCTCTTTCCTGAAGCAGGCGGCTTCAACTTTCTCCCTCGGGGCGGCTGCTGGGTCCGAACTGCTGGCCAGCAGTTTGCAGCGCGATGCTTAACCCACTGTGTCACCAGGGCTCCTCACCACAGGTACAACTCCAAAAAACCAAACACTCTGCCAGTGAGTCGATTATTCCGACTCACAGCGACCCTGTAGGACAGGATAGAACCGCCCTGGTGAGCTTCCGAGACGGCAACTTCACGGGAGTAGAAAGCCAGCCAGCTCCATTGGTTGGTTAGAACTGGGTGCTGGTAAGGCCAAGTTAAAGGGTTCAGTGTCTGATAAGGGCCACACACAAGATTTTTTAAGGGGGCCCTGGTGGTGCAGGTTTAGCCTGCTCCCTGCAGGGTCAAAGGTTCAAACCCACCAGCCGCTCTTCAGGAGTCAGATGAGGCTGCCTGTTCCCGGAAAGAGCTTGGAAACTCAGGGGTGGTTCTGTTCAGTCCTAGAGACTTGGCATCAACTCAGGCACAGGGAGCTCGGGTTTTCTGATCATCTCAGCAACCCCCAGAGGGCAGCAGCACTCACCGTGGGGAGCACGCCGCACGTGTCACTGAGCTGAGTGTCGGAAAGGGCTTGGTGGGGTTGTGGGTCAGGGCACACATAAGGAGTGACCGTGTGGTGTTGCCCAGCCGACCACAGAATTGGGCGACCTGCTCGGTTGTAGCATTCACCACAACCCACATCTGTTATCCTGGGATCCCTTTTTCTGATTGTACATATAATTTTGTATATGTGTATCTGCATGTCTTTGCATGCCGTATATACTCGAGTATAAAC